AGGTTTGGTCAGATCCACACGCAGGAGAGGGATGGGCTAATTCCCGGAGGGGTTGGAAAATCAAGAAGCACGGGAAGGATATCACTAAAAACTTCCTCCAAGGTAACGGACTGAGGAGGCGGGGTTTAGGGTTTAGGGTTTAGGGTTTAGGGTTTAGGGTTTAGGGTTTAGTTGTCCCTTGTTGGAGGTCCCTTAGTATGGACTTAAACGAATCGGGTTGGACCAGCTTCTGCAAGGGATTCGGATTAAAGCCCTAAGCCCGAAAATCTAAGGATTTGGTCTAGGTCTCCCAGTAAGACCCCTGTGCTCTTAGTATTATGGGGTCTCCGTATTCAAGACGACAAGTAGGAAAAAGGGGCACGTGCTATCATATTGAAGGGCCATAAGAGAACCTAACATAGGGGCCTTAAGAATTGGAATAAGGTTTCGGGGCCCAGCATACTAGAATTATAGTAAGGAGCCCCCAAAAGCCTAATTATTCTAGTTATTAAGGCCCCTACATTCGAGGACATAGGGTTAAGGGGCCCATTATATACTGTAATTATAATAAGGAACCCCCCCAAAACCCTATTCTGAACCCTAAACCCTATTCTAGTTATTAAGGCCCCTACATTAGAGGGCAACCCCTGGCAGGTTGCTGCGAGGACATGAACAAGTGTACAAGGGGATTGAGACCCTGGAGCTTGGCGACGACTCTTAGATAGCCAATGGGAGAACTTTAAACTTTTTGGCTTTATCTATTAGGTCTATCCTAACAAGTTTTAACTTTTTTGGGCCTGGTTGTTGAAGAAGAGAGGACTTTGTGGTGAACACCATCTTCTCTTCAGCCGACTATGTGGGGATCTTTTGTATCAACGAGACAAACAACCAGCCTCTGCGACTTCCGAGTTGGGATCCAAAGATGTTCAAACGGGGTGGGCACAGGAACAAAGGAGGAATCATGTTCGTCGACCTGAAGCAACAGTCCTTCCAGCCCCATACTCTTACAGCGCAGCGGGCTCGGCAGCGAGCAAGGGACTTTACGGGAGCAGGCTGTACCGAGCCCATCTCATCCCATGCTCTCCCGGACACCGAAGTCATCGAAGAGCCCGTTGAGAAGGGCTTCATAGACAGGTTCAAGACCTTCTTCGGCATGGGGTCTCTGCTTCAGGAGAACGGCCATGACCCTCAGACAGCGGAGCAAGTCGAGCTTCCCATCAAATGTCAAGGCCGCGATCATCTGAGCCCAGAAGAGGCAGAAGACCACGAGAACTACGTTCGCTCGACCTTGGCGGAAGCCAGCGACATGAACTTCGAAGTTCGGAAGATCATCGACCTGGCTGGGGAAGCGGCAGTTTGCGAGAATTTAACCGAGGCGACTAAGGACAACTGCAAGGCCATGGCCAGGGACATGATCACGCTGAAGGACGGTTTAGGGTTTAGGGTTTGGGGCTGTAGGAGTTTCAGAAACTAAGCCGGGCCCTCCACCAGATTCCATGGCAGCATGGCTTCTTGTGAGGACCCTGCACAAGGCAATATAGGGGCCTAAATAATTACCAATAGTATTTTGGATGCTCCTTATTATAATCATAGTATAATGGGGCCCCAAGCCCTATTCTGACTACTAAGGCCCCTACATTACCCCTTGTTTGTGCCCTAAACCCTAAACCCTCAACCCTACTTCCTGAGCCCAAAAGCCAGGTTTTCATGGAGCTGAAGGGGAGCAAGACTGTCCTAGAGGGCCTCGAGAACAACATCATCGCTCGCGAGGAGGAGGTCGAGGCAGTCGTGGACATGGGCATCTGATGCTCTTCTAGGGGTTTTGGGTTTAGGGTTATAGGGGTTTAGGGCTATATGGGTTTAGGGCTATAGGGGTTTAGGGTTTAGGTGGTTTAGGGATCAGCTGTAATCTCAAGCCTAAACCCATAGCTGCTAGATCCTCAGCTGCTGCACCCGTAGAGACCCGCAGACTTCTTAGTTGAAGAGACCCGAGCCACCGTCGCAGAAACGGCAACGCTGCTGCATAGTGTTGATCGTTAGTACCTGTATCCGCCTGGTTACGCATGCTTCGTGAAACAAATGCGAGGCTGAGCTGCGAGTCAAAAGAGGTGTCCTGCTTGGTGTTGGATTTTGTTTGGGGTATTGGTCCTTACCTTTGTGATTGTATGCGTTCTCGACCCAAGCACACAGTCTATGGGAGCATTGTAGACTATGTTGTAATGAGGCAGTCTGGAGTCTGACATGGACATGACTTTGTCACTCGCACAAGGTGGGAACTTCATGGCGTTGCCTGGAGTGTCCGAGGGAACTGTTGCCTCCTACGCTAAAGCCCTTTAAATCCTAAACCCCTATACCCCTATACCCTAAACCCTAAAACCCCTAAACCTAAACCCCTAGACCCTAATCCCTAAACCTCTGCACCCTAAACCCCTACACCCTAAACTCCTAAACCCTAAACCCCTAAACCCTAAACCCTAAACCCTATGAAGCCCTTAGGGCCCTGAAGCCTGACCCCAAGCCCGCAAGCCGGAAGCCAATACACCTAGTATAGAGGCCTTCATAATTAGAATAGGGTTTGGAGTCCTTCTTAGTATTAAAAGAACCATAATTATGGAACCCCCAAGATAGTATAGGTAATTATGAAGGCCCCTATATTAAATCCCTAAACCCTAGCAGGGGGCTCGTCCTTGCTAAGTCGGAGGGAAACCCCTAAACGCCACAAGCCCTAAACCCCAAACCCTTAAACCCTAAACCCTAAACCCTATAGACCGTAGAAGCCTTAAGCCACCAAGCCCTAAACCCTCAAGGACGTGAAGCCATGAAGAAGCTGCTGGCAGAAGCGAAGGAGCTCGGA